CATCTGAAAACTAGTGCATACTTGTAGGTAGTTCAGAGTTCACAGATGGAGTTTCTCTACAGGGAATGCCTTATGTGCTGAGTTAAGTGTCAGCTCTAGGTGTATCAAAAAATCCTTTAAGCCTGTCAAAATATATTGTTTCTCTAAAGCTGAGAACTTTTCTTAAATGTTTCCATTTTCTCATATCCAGCTATCTTATTTTGGCTCAAAGATGGCTTTAGTAATGTCTTGCTATCAAAATCGTGTTTTTTCTCAGCAGTACTACCAATCCATATTAAAAAAAGAAGAAGGACATGTGAAGGTATACCACTAGCTTATATATGCCAGAGTGCAAACTCATACTTTCTTTTCTTATTGTTTGCAGAACACTTCTCTAGAAGACTCCTAGGTAAAGGATTACATGCTGAGAAATCTCAGAATGGAAGTCTTCAACGATCAAGACCAAGGAACATTATCTACATGAAAAGTACTGGAATCTGGCACTTGCTACTCTGCTACAGCACCATGCCATGTACTTTCCAAAGTGTCTGTGTCAAGATCAGAGGGGTGGATAGATGAATGTCGCTTTTCTTTAGGACAGCCTTCTGGGGTAGCCAGACACATATTGTGTCTTCATGTCTCTTCAGTGATGATTTACAGACAAGTAACACAAATTAGTGCAATACCAACATTCTCTCTCATATTTTAGTGCTGTCCATCAGGAAGACCATTCTGTGATCTTCTCTGAGCCTTTGTTCATCTCTCCGTTGCTGAACCACTGAACTCCATTTGCAATTTGCTACATGATTAATCTGGGTACTGTACTGTGACTCCACAACACAATAAAGGAAGAAATGGTTATTTCAGAACATGTTCTGAAGGACTGCCACCCAATTTTTTTTAGTTTAGGCTGCAATTTATTTCCCTTCACTTGATACTGGATCACTTTGTGCTTTTAAATCAGTCTGGTCTGAGGTGACATGAGATAATTGTCTTTAGGATGGATAAACATCCAAAAGAAGTGGCTAAGCTGCAGACATTCACATACTACCCGTGCTTCCCTTGAAGCTGATGCTAAAACTCAGTAGAAGTGTCTGGGGAACTGCCTTACTACAGACATCTGAAAATCAGACATCTATGCTCTAGAATCTCATCATAATAAATGGAGAGAAGTAGATGTCACACTAACATAAGCATTCAGGTTAGCCTGGTGAACATACACTTTTGAAGTGACAATTTCTTTTCATTAACAAAAGAGGCAGTCAACAAATTCAGACACCAATGTTTGTCTAATGGTATGGCAAATTAAGCTCCTCCCTGAGTCTCCTTGGAAAAGGATTCACTGATTGCATGAAGTCCTTTACTGGCTGCTCTAAGTCCATCTACTCCTCTTTCATTGTGTGATAATCACGATTCTCTGACAGGCCAAATGTTATCATGCATTCATGTTTTTTATTTATTTTGAAATTGTTATTTTTTTCTGAATTTATTCTCTGCTTCTCCCGTTACCATAACTGAAACTCACATGAATTCTATTAAAATTAAATGGATTTAAATTGAAAGTGGGGAGATTTAGATTAGATATCAGAAAGAAGTTCTTCACGGAGAGGGTGGTGAGGCACTGGGACTGGTTGCCCAGAGTAGGGCTGGATACCCCATCCCTGGCCTTCTTCAGGGCCAGGCTGGATGTGGCTTTGAGCAACCTGGTCTAGTGGAAGGTGTCCCTGCCCATGGCAGGGGTTTGGAACTAGATGATCTTTAAGGTCTCTTACAACCCAAACCATTCTGTGATTCTAAGAAAATAGAACTATACTTTTTAAGTGCAAAGTGTGATTTTGCATTGTGTTCTCTTTTTCTCATTATTTCAGTGAGCTTTCACTAAGACACATCATTGATTTTAGTGGGAGCAGCAGCTGCCCTTCAGGATCCTCTTTTTTTCTTTCTTTCTTTTAGACTCTTGAGGACAAATACTAAGAAACTTAATATAAACTTCTATTTTTGGAACTTTTTTCTTCTGCATTGCACAGCTGGTATTAAAACAATCAGTTAAAGGTGATACGGATGGACATTTTTAATTAGCTTTGTTACAGGATATTAGCTGTACCTACAATTAAACTGTTGTAGAAACAGAAGTTCTACCCAGAAATCTGTCCACTAATGCTGCACCATTTCGGTACTTTTATATGATTAAAAGCTAGGAAAGTTTCACCACTAAACATCCAAGATTAAAATTCTCTGGAAAGTCCAGTACTTAAGAGTGTCTCAGGTTTTTTTCCCATGGATCACATATTGTACATACTACTTTGTGCTTAGAGTATCATCTACGTTTTTCCTTTTTTCACCTTAGACAAGTGTCATCATATGCTGGAAACATGACTAAGGCTAATGAACTTCGTATTTCAAAGAAAAAAATTCCTTAATCAGTCAATCACAAGTTGATTATGCAGTTGACGTAGTAAATAGGGTCAACATTAATCACCATTAACAAAGCCATATGTTTTATATTCACATTTAATGCACCTTAACAGGCCAATGTCTGTAGAATTTACTGCATGCTGCAGTAACAGAACGATGTAAAGATATATAGAAAAATAGCATATGAAGTAGGAAAACCCTGTTTTTCACTACCATTGCTATCAGGAAAGAAAGCAGATAAGCTGCCATACAAACCATATTATAGTTATTCATAACGAATCACTTTATTGCTCTGCACCAATATAGTGAATTACTCTCCACAGTTTTGAAAAAGCAGTATTACAGCAACACTCCAGTAGGTCAACCTCCTGGCTTCCTTACATTCATCAGCATTTGCAATAGATTTTCAAAATAAAGCCCACACATATTTTTCTTACAAAATGGACTCAAGTGAATTACAGTAACATTGCAGCAATTGAATTGCATGTCATCTGTAGGCTTAGTTAACAATATAAAATATGAAGCAAAAATGAATAGAAATATTAGGCATGATATAGAGACCTTAGAAATAAATAACAGTTTATATACTAAAATCAGTAGATTTTTGCATTAATTCTATTGTTTTTGAAATTAAAAGCAATATTTATATACACCTGCTTATGTCTGTCAATCACTTCATTAATTATCATACTATCATAGGGATTGTATTCCAAAGATGACAATACCTAATCTGAGGCTACCAATTTCCATAGATTTTTTTATTTTGCTCAAATAAAAATATGAGCAAAATTTCATTGTTTTTTCTTAAAAATTTAGTAGTTAGAAATTGCAATTTTCTATATCAGATTAGATTCTAAATTCTAATACTAAAATACGAGTTGGAAACCAGCTATATCTAAAGAGCTAAAACAAAAACCAGTATAAAGATCTTTAGGTATTACTGAGCTAGCAAAAAGTAAAAAGGTAACTGAATAGAATTGAAATGTGACTTTCTGTTTCTTGTTTTATAAATTAGCTGCTTCCATTAATAAAATCTAGGCACATACAGGCTGTAAATTCAACTTCAGAGAGATAACAATAGTCATATACAACTCTGCCAAAGATGGGGTCTACTGTATTGTACCACTCACTAGGTCTTTCAAAATCCCTCATTTCTGTCTAGTATCTATAAAGAGTTTATAGGGCAATTGACAGCTTATTTGGGTCTTTTTGGAAGGTCTCTGCATTTAGATGGGAGAATAAACAGCTGGGGTGCAAAATGACTCAATGTAACTGCTCCTCGGGTTGTGTTTCCCAGAATTCCAGAGACCCTCTTTACCTTTACATCTTTCTAAGAAAGCATACTAGTTTCCAGATACTTATTTGGGCATTGTTTTGTGGAAGTAATGGAAAGAGGTGTTTGGGTTGAATATGGGATCTTCAGGCTGCAGACAGTGGGTAGTGCCTGTCTGTACAGTCTGTTCCTAGGGCGAGTAGAGAGCCAGAGCACTTCCCCACGTAGAACAGGCTGTTCGGCATCATCCCCAGGACATATCTGGAAAAGTGCTGTTACCTGGTTTGACTAGTAACAAGTAAAAAAGGCAAGGAAGTGGACAATGCATATCTTTTTCCATCTGTCAAAGTATGAAGGTGCATTCTATTTACATAGCCTGTTTTTTTTCTAATTTCATGTTATCGTTTGGCCTGCAGAACATTTGAAAAGCAAAACAAATACTTCTTTCATTTTGTTTTTGGCTGCACTCAAGGTGCTCTTACTTTATTGCCAAGTACGTAATTTGTGTATGTGTGTGCATGTGGATTATAACTTACTGTAGGATCTTTGCCAGCCATTTTGCACTCTTCAACCTTGTTTGCTGATGCTGGCCAGAGAATCTGAAAGGAAAGAAATATATTTTAAGTAACATATTTATTACGTAATTTATTTTTTAATGACAACCAAAAAACATTTCACTGCCTAACTTAGTAAAAATTTAACAATTTGCTATCTTTTACACCTTAATTATAAGGATTTTTATTGATAAATGAAAACAACTTTCTGTCTAGCATGAAGTAAACAAATGAAGGCCCAGGTCTTCGGCTGATATAAATGAATCTCATTAAATATTTTTAAGATAAGTTAATCAATTTGCTTCAATTTCTTTTTTGTAAATAAGAGAAATTTTTGTCATCATTGTCTAAATTATTGTTCATTGTTACTCTTCTGCTTTTACTGAACTTCTAGCAATTGTTCACACTAGAAACCAGAAGACTAAAATATTGAAAGAAGTGTTCTTGTAAAAATTTTTTGGTTTGAACAGTGAAGATTTGGATATCATATGATAAAATCTACTTAAAATCTTAAGATTTCAGGCTGATTTCCTCAGTTCTTTCCAAGATGTCCTGCATTACAAGAAGTTTTCTGACAAACACCTCAATGTTTGAATGTTGATCTGTTCTGTACTCAAACTCTAAATTATTTGAGATTCTTTCATTATTTATTTTGATTTTGAAATAGAAAAGACATCCATTGAAATCTCTCCCTAGAAATGTAGTAGGTAACAGAACCTGATAACATCTAGCCTCAGGATAACATAAATTAAAAGATATCTGTGTATATATATAAATACATATAAATATACAGTTGTATGCATATGTATATAGGGTTTCTATAGAGGCATAAGATTAGCCAATTGAATCTGTAATAAAAATAAATAAACAAATGAAAGCAAGTGTGGAGTTGCAGAGATTAATTCTGAGCCTAACTGCATGATCACGTTCACTGCCAGAAAATTTCAGGTGTCTTTGTTTTCTGTTGATTTTTTAATTCTTGGGGCTTTTTTCAGGCCTATATAGACTGTTGAAATGCCTCATAGCTTTATGCTGCAGACTATATTTCATGCAAGAGAGGCCTTCCTATCTACCCAAACTCTGCACAGCACTAAGCGCGACCTGCTCAGGGAAGGCTGAAGCACACCATGTGGGAGCACAGCAGCTCCCAGAGAAGGGTGGCAGATCACTGGTGAGATGGGAATTACCAAAAAGGTCACACGAGCCACTTCAGAGAAGGCAGTCCCATTTCAGAGGAAGATTTCTGTACCATTAGAAAGGAAGGATGCCTTCACTCCATCACACGAGGCATTTAATTTACACATGTAAGTTGGAGTTAGCCTCCCAGACTCCCAGCACAATCAATTCAGGTAGACAGGCATGTCCAGAGGGTGATTCAGAGCAAAGCCTAATTTAAGTGCTCTTAATCACCCTCCAGCAGGGCCTCTCTCTTCTGACACATTAAAAGCCTGGCCTCTTATGGAAGGCATTTAACTTTGCTGCTGCAAGCTGGGTATCTCTGCCTCTCCATACTGCCGAGGTAAAGCCCACAGATTAAAGGATCAGATGGATCTGTTAGAACAAGGGCTATACAGTACACTTTAAGGCCCTGTTGTAGCTGTAATAATCTAAAGATAGGCAAGGCAAAGTCTGTAGAGAGGTAGTATTTTAACAGGCTTCTGGGCACACAAGTACTTCTGCAGGCCACCTATTTTAAGAGCAGAGAACCTGTATTCGAATTGGCTCTGGAAACAAAAGAGGAATTTGTGAAAGTGGTTTAAACATTTGATAAATCGATTCTTTTCATATAGAGGCTGCCTACCACAGTTTGGGGAAGTGGGACACGAAGAGTCCTTAGAAAATGGCATCTTGATAAGTGAGAGAAGAAGACACCAAAGAGGTGGCGTCAAGCAGGAGATGAAGGTCATAGTGTCCAAAAAATCCCCAAACAGGAGGTGTCTCATCTACCCAACTGATGGGCAAGGGCTGACACAGACATAACAAAAGATTGGAAAATAGTTCAGTGATTATGGTTCAAAGTACAAACCAAAAATAAATATAGCAGAAGGTTAAAGGCAACTCTGTCTCTGTTGCCTTTTTTCCCTATGGCCTGAAAATGACCACATATATCTTACTCTTCCTAAGAGGCTTCTTCTAAAACTGCACCTCTGAATTATCTTAAATCTTGTAGAGGAGTGGAAACCATCAACCCAGACAAATTTTCCTTATGAGGACAAGCCATTCTGAACATCACTTCAAAACAAATAAACAGGTCAGTTTTTAAACAGTGTTTGAGAAGCAACCATCTTAATAGTGTGCTCATCTTGTATTAAACATAAACCAAGGAATAACAGTTCAGTAAGGTGCGTGCCTGGACTTCTGCCTTCTGCAAAATAATGAAATACACATTTTTTAAAATAAAATAAAAGACATATAGTAAAGCAACCTTGGCTTCTCAATATAAATCTTGAACTTACACTCAGAGGGTCCTGGCTTATATTATTAATATTCAAAGACAGAATATGATCTTTGCTGCCCACGTAGATCCGATCCTGATCTTCATCCATTAATAATATCCTGTAATCCAGGGGACTGTGGGATATTCTGTGATATTCAGAGGTCTTAGTTTCTTGCAGCTCTGAAATAGTAAAGACAACAATTTAGTAAAGTGGTTCAGTTGCTTTTCTCAATTCACAACTACATTCTTTTCTAAATAAAGGCATCTTTGAAAACAAGTGGGGTCAATAAGAGAAGAAAAACCCTCATCAGACTCTTGGTAATAATGTCATTCTTGAGTTAAACCAAATTTTACTTTCCCAGTTTGAATGTGCTTTTTTAATACATTAAGTAGCTAGACATACATCATAAAAATCAGGCATTACTGTTATTCATTCATCTAATTAATTCTTATTTTAATGGATATGATTATTTACAGCTTTGGCTTTTAAAGAAGATCATATATTAAATTAATTACTGTGTTCAATACATTTTGAAGTTTATGACAGCAGAAAAGCCACACGATCAATGAAAAATATGTAAGATCAGTTTACATTCTTTTCCAACAGGGGTTTCACTAAGAATAATTTTCTTATCATTTTCAAGGTCAATATTTTTTTTAGTTCTTCATCACCATTCACAGCTTATTTAAAATAAAAAAGAATATGTATTCAGTCATACCTAAATGTATTCATTTTTTCAGTTGTTCATTTATGGGATTTGGATCAAACTATTAAAACTGTAGAACTATCTCTTTCTTTTTTTTTACCCACATAAAACTTTCTTCAATTTTTCTGAAGTGAAAAACTTCCTTTGATCTCAGTAATGCAGGATCAGGCCTGTTAGAGGAATAGCACGAGCATCTGCAATGTAAGTATTACTTGCTGTCCCTGAGAAAGGTAATTTTTCCTGTCTTTGCTTGGCCAATATATTTTTATGCCCACTTAGATTATTTTTCTTTTCAGTAACAACAGAAGGGATATTTCTCAAGAGCTGAGAATGGAAAACCAAAACTTTATTAATCAATTTCTTCTTATTCAAAAAATTAACACGTAACTATGCTTTCTTACCTCATGAGCATTTTTACTGGATTGTGTGCACTTTGACTCTAAAAGGGTGGCAAATATACAGTACATACAAAAATGAAGCCCTCCTATAATATTTATTCATAAATCTAAAAAATGAGTCCACATCCCTTTTGCAAACTGTTTGTCTGGGGCAATATGGCTGATCACTGTTTCTAAAGCCTAGTTTTTTGCTAAAAGCAAAGTTTTTGCTCAGTATTTCCCTATAGAAAACAGTAGATGTCTTATCCAAAATTAAGCACATCTAAGCCTTTTAGATGACTAGATTAACATGGGCTAATGATATTTTGGAGAAGAGAATGCTCAAAAAAAAAAAAAAAAGAAAAAATTTTGGATATTTACTCTTTTCAAAGAAAGAGAAGTGCCTTTTGTTCTTTATGCACTTTCTGTAAAACACATATTTAGCTGGAAGCATAATTTTTTTCTTTGAAAAGTACTTGGAGAGCAATTTTTGTCAAGCTGTAGACAACAAACAGGTAAAGGCTGCAATCTTAGGACTTATACCTGTCTGCTAGAGATCATATAATTTGCTTTGATAAATATGATACATAGCTCCACCTAATCTATATCATGATTATTAAATATTTTCATAGGAAGATAAAAAAATATTCAGTTACTGAAAGATACAATGTTTTGATTCACTTATTTGTGTGATAGCCTTCAGGAACAAAGGGTTGCCTACATGCATTTATTATGGTAATATTAAGAAAAAAGAGCAACAAATAGTGTATGTATTTCATATGTCCCTCAACAAAAGGTAAACATACAATCAAAATTTACAGTCTGCACCTAAAAACTTAAACAATACTCAGTAAATGTATATGAAAATTGTCCACATAATTTTCAGAAGTCTTTCAGTGATTGAAAAATCAATTGCTTTATTTAAAAAAAATCTTCCTGTAAGCTTTTAGCTGGGATTTTCAAAGGCATAAGTGCCATTAAAATGCAGTCCCTTTGCCCTCTCTGAAATGCTCAAACTGACCTTTCATAACAAGCCTGAGAATCTAGAGCTCATCTCTTTTCCTGGTGGCCTTATTAACTTTACTGTAATATCTGGCAGCTGTAAGGTGAAACTTAACCTTCTCGTAACTGTATATTTGATATCCTAGGAAAGCATATATAACCTGGGAGAGGCAGCAGTTTCCTGCACAACACTGGGTAAATGTGAGCACAGTGGTTCCACAATATAATGCCCCTCCTTGTTGCTTCAGGACTGACAATGACTGACAAAGAGTAAGCCATGATTGACATAAAAGATGATCAAGATCATGATGATTGTTTGTAAGCAAAAGACAAAAATAAAGATACTTGATTTTCATGACTTTCATTTATTAAAATCCACTATTTTCCAGGATTTTTAACCTCTTTGCAATGGCATTATTCTTTCTAAGTCACCTGAAGGGTAATCCATCTCCATCAAGTTGCTGCTGAGAAGAATACCTTATGACATGCCACTAGGCTATGGGAACGCAACACCATTCATAAGAGGGAAGGAAGACCTTGAAACAAATACTCTCATATGGATTTATTAGTCTTATTTCTTTCAGTGCTGAAGCTTACAGCTTAGTAGCCTCTTAGGGCTATGCAGAGGGAATTTACAATTTATCAAATTTCCTTTTCATTTAACAAAATTTACCCTACAATCACCCAAGAAAATTTGATTTTTTAAAGATTTACTGTCTGAGTGTTGTGACTTGGAAAGAGCGGTGGCTAAAAAAGATGCTTTCCATCTCCAAAAGTTTTTGTAAAGAAATAATGTAAACATTTACTGACCTTCAAAGCAACTTCTATTCCATAGTTTTGGGATTTAGCCAAACATTCAAGACAGTAAACCCTGTATGGAGAATTATGTTGCAGACAACCCTCTGTGAATATTAACAATTTTGTTTGACAATAATAATAAAAAATGTTTATATATATATTTCATACGCAAATAACTGTCATCCTTAAAGATACAAGAATAATCTTTGTTCGCCCTTTTTTCGTCAGTCAGGGAATTTAGTTCTGGCTTTCTTCAATGATAAAGCCTATACCAACTTGATTCCTAGTGACAGAAACCTGATCTTAGAGGACAGGCTATACAGCTCTTGTCTCTTTTAATGAAAACCAAAAGCTTCAGTGACCTGTCTCCCCAGAACTATTATTATTATTGAACTAAGTATTTTGGAGTTCCCAGTGACGGGGAGTCTCTGTACACAGTGTACAGCTTACTGACAATTTGGCAGTTTAACACCTACTCTCTAGTTATCCTTCTAATTCACCACAAAAGTTTATGCAAGTATTATTTTTTAAAAAGTTTTGTTCTTGCAGGAGAAACAACCAAATATTTGTTCCATATCCATCATTAACGTCAAAAAGCCTTTGTAATACTCGAAACTCATTGTGTTGGCCAGAACAAAACAAATTACAGCTATTAGAGTCTTGAAATCCAGGAAGGTGGAGACATCTCTCGTGCTGACAAACACAGCCTGATATACCCAAACTGTCCAACCTGCATATAGGTATATGAGCGAGATCCACTCATCAGGTTGTCCTCTGAACATATTATTTAGTCACTCAACATCAGCCTTTCGTCACTCTTTAATTCAAATTTCATAATGTGGAAAACACAGCCTGACTTTTCCAACATAAGGGATATAATAATTCCCATTATGTAAGATAAGACCCTAATATAAATGACTTCCTCTGTAGATATCTTATACTAATATAGAAGTTTGATATGTATGTTAATGAAACTAATATAATTTTTAGCAGGACCTCCTCAAAACAAGATTACTCCCTATTTCAGACCCACATAATCACTTGTTACAAAAACGTTCAATATAATCAAGAAATTATATTTCAGAGTTTGGTAAGATACAGCTGTGGTGTGCAAGCATCCCCAGCTGAAGTTCAAAGCAGTGAGTTTATCCACAGATAAGCTGTGGATAAACTATGATACGTGAAAGAGTACACGCATTTGTCTCTGCTCTATACCATCCCTGAGTTTCCAGTCTGGCAGAGCTTCTTTGAGCAAATCTAGGATGCTCTGTCAAGCTTTTAATTTAGGATCCCCTGGGGTAAAGTACAAGAAATAAGATGTTTTCTTTCTCTTTCCTGCTGGCATAAGGATTCAGTCTCAGAAGGTTGTTTATGGGGATGTTCAGAGCAGAGGCAGAGATTTGGTTTATGTGCCTCAAAAAAAGCAGGGAGTAGAGCACAGCAGTCCAGTTTCACAGGCAGCACCACAGTGAAGGGGAGAAAGAAACATCTCTTTCCAGAAAGACGGGCTGCATCTCCCCAGGGAACCTCTGCTGCCCAAACTGGCATGGATTTTACGTAGCCTTAGTGATTTGGAATTCAGCAATACAATGTTGCTGTTTTTCACTCCCTCATGTGGCATGGAGTCCAGAAACAACAGGCCATGTGTACAACTAGCACTAGGCTTGACAATATTAGCTCTACTTAAGGAGACCGTAAGACACTCTTAAGCCTCATTAAACCTACAGTTTCTGCCAACAAATATGCCAGCCCATGCCAAATGTGAAACTGCAGTGTAAAATCTCACATTCTAGGAACTGGAAGGAAATCAGTTTTCTTCCCTTACCGCCCACCCTCCCACTCTCTCCACGCCCCCCCAAATAAATATCTAAATAGAATGATGGTTTTGTTTATAGCATCAAATGGAAATGGCACACTTTTACCCACGGGACACTTCTGAACAGGTGAAAAAAATGATTTGCACGTATACATTCATACAGACACTGTACATAATATTGCTAGCATTGAAAGGAATGGTTATATATTTAAAAAAATGTGAGTGGAAGCAGAGGTATCTGAAAAATTACAAAAAATGTTTTATTTACTTCAAATATTTTCCTTTCTCCTTGGTATTGATGAATTGCTTTCTGCCTTATTATTAGAAAGAACTAGAAAATATCTAGTTGAAAGACACTGGAATTAATAAGAACCTAATAATTTAAATTATTGTTTTCTTGGCCTTTTTTCTGATTTTTTAGTGTAAAGATATGGAAGAAATAAATGTATTATTTTTATAGTTTACATTGTACAGTGGAAA